TGTGGGTGGTTCCCCTGGCCTTTTCTGCCCTCTTCATTGTGGACAGGGGTGAGTGGGCAGAGTGCACCTGGACCCTGCAGCGTGGTGTCTGCCAGTGCCCTTGGGGGTGGGCAACAGCAAGCCTGGAACACCACATGAGGGCTCGGTTTTCCACATTTGTCTTTTATTTCCCATGTGTACCCTCCATTGCAGAGGGCAAAGCCTGGCTAAGAGAAAGAAACTTGGGTCCAAATCCTGACCTTGGTCCATAATTGCCACCTCCCCCTTAGGGCCTCAGTTTTTCCAGCTATAAAGTAGGAGGTTGTTCCAGCTCAAAGCTTCACTAAGCAATTACTAGTCTGGAGGTGGAGAGGACAGGAGGAGAATGTGGTTCTCAGACCTTAGGAGATATGGGCAAGTATGTTGGTTGCAAGCAAATGGGTGCTAAGAAAGACTCAGCCTGGTTCTCTGAGCTGCTGTTCTGCCCCGACAGGCTGTAGTTTGGGACTGAGCACAGCCATGTGAGCATGTGAGGGCCTCCCCTTAGGAGCTCTTGTACAGAGCTAACTTGCACTTGGGATGGGGCATCCTCAGGCCTGGGGCACCTCAGCAGCCTTGAAACAATTGTGTCAGGTGGTATTCTGGAACCTTCACACATCAGTGATCAAAACAGAAAAAGCAGGGCCCAGGGATTTAGCTCAGTGGTTTCGCCACCTGCTGCGCAAGCACAAGGAGCTGAGTTTGATCCCTGGTACCCCCCCTCAAAAACAAAACAAAACCAGAAACAGCACTGTTCTGATGGAGCTTAAATCCAATGGGATATGGAGAAAGAAAAATAGACAATAAACAAGAAAGGTACAATAGCTAGGAAGGCTGAGGCAAGAGGATTGCAAATTTAAGTCCCACCTGGGAAACTTAGGGAGACTCTGTCTCAAAATTTATGCTTTTTTTTTTTGGTACTGGGGATCGAACTTGGGACCTGGTGCTTGCAAGGCAGGTGGCAGCACCACTGAGCTGAGCTAAATCACCAGCTGTCTCAAAATTTTTTTAAAAAAAGTTTTTTAAGGGGTTAGGGAAATAGTGGGGAGATAGGTCAGTGAGAAGCCCCTGGGTTGAGTTCCTAGTACTGGAAATAAAGGACAGAAAGAAAGGGGGGGGGGAGAGAAAAGAAAGAAGACAGAAAGGAAAGAAGGAAGAAAGAATGAAAGAATGGAGGTATGGAAGAAGGAAGGAAGAGTGAAAGAGAGAGAGAAAAAAAGAAAGAAAGAAGGAAAGAAAGAAAGAAAAGAAAGAGAGAGAAAGAAAGAGAAAGACAGAGAGAAAGGGGGTACTATGGTAAGCTGAGCATAGTGAGTTAGTGAGACCCTGTCTTGAAATTAAAAACAGGCTGGTGATATATCTGGTTCAATACCCAGTACCTCAAGGAAACAATCCCAAAACCAGTATGTTAGTATGTAATCAAGAGTAAGGAAGGGCCAGGGATTTAGCTCAGTGGCACCGCACCTGCCTTGTAAGCCCAAGGTCCTGAGTTCAATCCCCCATACCACAAAAATAAAGGGGAGGAGGAGCTGAGTGATGGGGATTGGGAGGAGTTTGCAGCTTTAAATCGGTAGAAGTATCTCTGAGAAGCTGATGTTTGAGTAAACAACATCAAGGTTTAGGTGAGAAAGCCATGTGGTTCTTTGGGAGAAAGAGATTCCAGGCAAGGGCCCCAAAATAGAAGCATGCAAGGAGGCCAGTGTGGCTGGGGGTGAGTGAAAGACATGACACACAGCCACAGGAGACAAGAGACAACTGGGAACTCTACTGGGTAAGGCCTTGTGGGCCAGTGTGAGAGTTTGGCTTTTGAAAACTGTTAAGTGAAATGGGAGGCAATGAAGGGTTTGAGCAGTTATAGCTTCAAAGAATTGCTCTAGTTGTTAATAAACTCAATGGGAAGTGGGGAGAACAGTTGGGACCCACATGGACAAAAGCCATAATGTTACAAGGCAATGCCTGGCAGGACCATTTTCCCCACCTTCAGCCTAGGTGATGAGGAATGGGTCTTGGGGCTCTGGTTAGGCACTGGTGGCTTCCTCCCAGCCTGACACCCATCCCCGAGAAGTTCATTTGGCAACTTTTCAGGGTCTGCCTTGAAAAAGATCCTTGTATGCATTTTAGACTCCCACTTGGCCCTCTGTGGAGAGGGTACCTCAAGTCAAGGGAAGCCTGGGGATAAATGCAACATTTCCCCAAATCCCCAGGAAGAAAATCTGAGACCCCAGGGTTCTGAATACTCTCTCCCCCAATGCACTTGAGTGGTCAATTTTTTTTTTTTTTTTTGGTACCAGGGATCGAACTCAGGTCCTTGTGCTTGCGGGGTAGGAGGCAGAACCACTGAGCTAAATCCCCGGCCCATTGAGTGGTCAATTCTTGAACACTTCCCTTGTGCAGCATTGAGCAAATGCTACATGGGGATAGAAACAAGGAGAAGAAGGGGTGACCCAGAGAGTGAGACAGCACATGCCTTTCTGACATAATCTAAATCCAAGTCTGCTCAGGAATCGTGGGGGACAATCGGGAGGGTGTGAGTCTTGAAAGGCTGGTAAGGCCCAATAGGAAAAGACAGGGTACAGGGACTTTTCAGTCAGGGGGAACTTCATGAGCCAAAGAGCCTGTTCCAAGAACAATGTGGAGGGAAATAGGGGCTTAGGGACAGGGAGAGTGTATTATAAAGGGAGCCCAAGGAGCATGATTGGGGCCAATTCTCATAGCACCCTAAACAAAAGACTAAGTGCTCAGGTCCATAGGGAGGCTTGGTGATCAGGACAGGGAGCCGGAGGAGGGCTTTATATTTTTTAATGTTTTTCTTTTGCCTACCAGCGACATACCATGAAATGCACAAATCGTATCACTTAATAGATCTTATCAGTGAGCTTTGACAAAGCACCTGCCAACCCAAATTTCCATCAAGATACAGAATGTTTCCACCACCGCAGAAATGTCCCTCCTGCCAGTCCTCCCGCCCCACCCCCTGCTCAGAGGCAGCAGAGCAGACCTGCTCAGTGCCCGGGGGCAACCACTGCTCTCCCCTTTTTCCACACAGGTCAGTTGGCCTGCTCTAGAATTTCACACAAATGGAAACACATGGTGTGCAGTCTTTTATGTCTGCTTTCTTTTGCTGAGCAAAATGTTTCTGAGATTCAGCCACATGGTGTATATCACTTGCTTATTTTTATTGCTGAGTAGTATCCCATTGTATGGAAGTGTCACAGTTTATCCATTCTCCCATGGGAGGACACTTAAGTCATTTTTAGTTTGGGCAATTAAGACACGGAAGGGTTTTAAGCAGTGTTGCAACAGGACTGGATTTACATTTTGATGTCCCACTGCCAGGCATATCAGAGGCGACAGTCTCAATCTCCTTCTCCCACACTGCCTTGGAAATCTCTTGTAATAATAGTATCTCCAGAAAAAGGTGTCCTTGCACTCTTCTAGTGGGGAACTCAGTACTTCCAGAGACAGCCTCCTTCAAGCTTCAATATCACATAGCTCCCACTGACAGAAAATTCTGCTTCATATGGAACAGACCCACCTCCCTGCAGCCTTGTATGAAGAGGCTCTGCGCTTTTCCAGCCCCAAGACAGGCCTTCAGAGACTTGAGGAAGCATCTTGCCCTTCTCCACTTTACATAGCCATACTTCCTCCCACGTGTGCCCCTAGAAATGTATCTTGTTCCCTCGCCCTCCTGTCATACATGATGTCACATCAGTTTGCTCATATCCTAGAAGCCATTCAGCCAGACCTTCAGGGGCACAACTGCGTGTGTAGAAAGAGCCAGGCTCTGGAGTAAGGCTCATGTGCAAATTCTGCCTCTGCCCTAACAAACTGTGTCACTGGACTTGTTTGTTTTGTTTTGTTTGTCTTTTGAACCCAGGGTCTCCCCATTGAACTACATCCCCAGCCCCATTTTTATCTTTTATTTTGAGAGAAGGTCTTGCTAAAGTCAGTAAGCTGCCTTGGCTGGACTTGAATGTGTGATCCTCCTTCCGTGACCTTCCAGAGTGTTGGGATTGTAGGTGTGTGCCACTATGCCCGGCACTGCTGGACCTCTTCGGGCCTCTCTCCTAGGTCATTCAGACTATGGGATCCGAATTCCATTTATCGGGGAGTGTGTATAGAAGTGAAACCAATGAGGGTACAGGAAGTTGACAATGCAACAGAAGGGTCACATGACCCCACAGGGAGATCTGGATCTGGCGTGGCCCTTCAGCACTGTTCCAAATAGAGATGGGGGGTGGGGGCTTTTGTGCTCACATCAATATGTCATTGGATATGAGCCGTCCCTGGGTAGGGATGTAATTATGGGCAAGGCAGTGCCATTCTCCCAGGATAATTCCTAGGAAGGGACTTTCTGTGAGTAATCAACACTCCTAGCCATTGGGGAAATGAATTTGTCAGTCCTGCAATGGGCTCTGGGTTGCAGATCACAGATAGCATCTGCTACTGTCTCCCTCCTTTCCTTTGAGTAGTAATAGAGGTGTGAAAAGTACTTACAATCACATATTCCGTATTCTCAATGCCTGCCATGTAGTAACTGCTGAATTATTACTATTATTATTTTATCATTGTTGTCATATGGGACACAAAAATTCCAATGGGATCTAATGAAGAACAGGCTGAATGGTCACCTCCCTAATTCTAGACTGTTTCTATTTATGTAATCTAAGATCACATAAACTCATATCAACTTTCTGGCAGCACCACTGTCTGGTGACTCACTCTCTTTCCAGATTGAGTAGTGGCCAGGCCAGATCCTCCCAAGGAGAAACAGTTCTCAGATCCCAGGACCAGGACCCAAAGTCAACATGGTTTTTGTTTTGTTTTGTATACCAGGACTGAACCCAGCTGGTGCTGAGCTACATCTCAGTCCTTCCCTCGAACTCGGAATCCTTCTCCCTGAGCTCCCAAGTAGCTAGGATCACAGATGTGCACCACCATTTCCAGCTAACATCACCTAATTCTTGCTTTTTATCTTTCAGAAGTGACAGTGTCAGCAGAAGAGCTCACTTTCTCCAGAATGGTAAGGCAGCTGCTTGCAATTCTGATACTCTGAAAAGGAGTCTTCTCAATCCATGCTAGGAAACCAGGGTTGTTATTCTCCACATTCTTGCTTACATATCTTCAGTGGCCCCAAATTAGCCAGAGTGGCCTCCTGAACCTTCAAGTCCCCCAGATGACCTCTTCAGTCTGAGCAGGCCCAGCCCCCTCACCAATGTCCTAGCCTGGTCTCAATGCCCTTGGGATCTGCCCCACCGTGGTCTCCTAGGCCCCTTCTCTGAGCTCTCCCCTCTATCTCAGCAGGACACAGGACTTTCTCTGCTTTAGGCAGAGTACACAGGCCACAGTGTTCAGGCCAAAGAGGTGACCCTGGTGTACAGAATGACCCCGTGGCATATGCCAGCCTCAAACCACAAACACCAAAACACACTCCATCATTCATCCCTTCAGTCTGAGAAGGCAAACAAAAGTTGCGCCTGAACCCTGATTCTACCTTGCCTGGGTCTGATGTCCCTAGTGATTCCAAGGCAGTGGTACTGGCACTGGCATCCTTGGGACTCTCAAGTCATCCCTTCAAATAGGTGAATGCAAAGGCTCAAAGCCACCTTCCCATGAAGCAGCCTCCACACATTCCCCATCAGTCAGTCAGAACCCAGTTCCATTCTGGCGGCAGATAAAGAGCCAAATACAGTACGTTACATACAGTAAGTCCCCAACTTACAAACGAGTTCCATTCTGGGAGAATGTTTGTAAGCTGGATTCATTCGTAAGTCAGACAAAGTGAATCTTACACACACCTTTGACACAAATATACAATGTAAAGCATTAAAACACAAACACACAAATATTGTAAATAAACTATTTTTACTTTTATAGTTACCTCAGAATTGTGGTACAGTGGAGCAACTGACATGTAGGGGATTTCATGGAGTGAACTGACAAGAAGAGAGTTATCAACTGGAGCAGGGAGGGTAGGATAGAGTCATCTATGATGAGAAATAAGAGCTACTACTCAGACATCACTGGATTGTTTCTTAAGAGGGTAGACAGAATTGAATCCATCAAAAAAAGCTGTGTCATCAACATCAGGTGTCAGTGAAATTCCATCTTTCCCTTCATCTCCTAGTGCTTATGATCCAACAGCTCCACCCTTTCCCACCCACCCTCCCTCCTCTGATTAGTAACTATAGCACTGCACAGTAAGCACACAGCAGCACAACTGTGATAATGTCTAGCGGATAGGTGAGCTACTTCCACAATTTGTTTCCATCTATGAATGTTGGTAATGCAAGGTCCGTTCATATTTGTGGAAGTTTGCAACTCGAATGTTCACAAGTTGGAGACTTACTGTTCATTATTTTAATCTATCCTATGTGAGAGGAACACTATTGTTTATAATAATTTTTAAAGATGAGGAAACTGGTGTTCAGAGAATGGAAAGAGTGCATCCAAGTTTGCACAGCTAGTCTGGCAGGACTCTCTAGAGCCCAGGCCTGCACTGCTGTACCACACTGCCTCCCTCACCCCATCCCCATCCTAGGCCCCAACTTGTCTTGACCAATTTCTGAGTCTCAAGCACAGCCTGAAATCCTTTGAGACTGAGCCTCAAGTAAGTTCCCTGCCTCAATTTTCCAGGCTTCCCACACTGTTCCATCTTCCTGCCATGGGCCTGATAGATCACAAAGGCCTGGGTGAGTTCAGGAGTCCCTGGGGAGAGAGGCCTCCTGGGAATGAGAGTGGTTCTGTCTCCTGGGGTCCCCAGGTGGACCCAAAGAAGAAATTCTAGTTAGACTGTCTGAGGAATGTGTGAAGCAGTCCCCAGGAGCTTGCAGGCACAAACTCTCTCCACACACACATACACAAGCACGCGTCTGGATGTTCACATACCCGGGCTCAGCAGACATAGGTGGTACTTATACACATACCCAGCCACAGGCATACATATACGGTCACATACACACAGGTGCAAACACACTATGGGGTCCTGAGTGGTTGGTTTCAAATTCACTGGACTTAAAGAGTCTTCTTGAATCCTGCTGGTCCTTGCTTCTCAGGCTCCAAGAAGGGCCCCTGGATCCCTCCTCACTCCTCTTAATCTGAGTTCCCTCCCTCCTCTTCTCTGTTCCACAGCCCATCTGCGAGCACATGGCAGAGCCTCCAAATTGTCCCCAGACACCTAATCTCATCTGTGGCACTGATGGGGTCACATACAACAATGAATGCCATCTCTGCTTGACCCGTATGTAAGTGCTACCCACCTTGTTTGGATAGGCATACAAATCTGGAAGGAGCAAGAGTTGACTGGCTTCTTTTTTCACAAACACTTGGCCTGAGAAGAGTCATCCAAGCTTAACCCCTAACAGGATGAGCCTCAGTGTAATTTAAGGGAGGCATAAGGTTCCAGACTTTGGTGGGAGTAGAAACCCTGTTGTTTGGTTTGTTTGTTCATTTGTTTTTTTGAGACAGGGTCTTCCTATGCAGCCCAGGCTAGCCTGGAACTCAAAATCCTCCTGCCTCAGCCTCCCAAGTGCTGGGATTACTGGTGTGTGCCATGCCTTGAAAATTCTGGATTCTTTTCTTTGTTCGGCTAGATAACTTCATTTGTTCTTTTTTTTGGTACTGGGGATCAAACTCGGGACCTTGCGCTGGTGAGGCAGGAGGCGGAACCACTGAGCTAAATCCCTGACTCTTTCATTTGTTCTTTCATTACTCAACCCAACAATTATTTATTGAACACCGACTCTGTGCAAGCCACTGAGGATAGAATAGAGCACAGTAAGATAAGACAGTATTATCTGCCTTCTGGAGCTCAGTTGGTCTGAGGGGGAAGCTAGGCTGATGGCAGCTAATTACAGCACAGAATGCTCAAGGCTCAGATAGAGCAAACAGGGTGCCAGGGGAGCAGGGCAGGGGCAAGGCAAGGAAGGCTGCCTGGAGGAGGTTAATACCTGTGCTCAGCCCTCAGGACGGATAGGTAGAAATTAGCTAGAAAAAAGAAGGAAAGATAATTTCAAGTAGAAAAAGCATATATGGAAGAGCCCAGGAGGGAAAGGACATTTGTATGAAGGAAAGTATAAGAAGTTGGACATGCCAGAGTGTAGTTTAAGGGAGAATGAGACAGAGGCAGTAAACAAGTCCAGTGAGATGAGAAGGGCCAGAGCATGACCTTAGTTCATCAGGTCATCTACTTAATCTGTTTATTTCCCAATAAAATCCTCAGTCAGTCTAGAGTTAAATGAGATTGGGGAAGAGAAACTGCAAAGCTCTAGACAGATGTGGTTTGTATTAGAGGAAATATAAGAAGGATCAGGGCTTTGTGCTAGCTTTTAAAAAGATCATGATAATTAAGGACACATGGTTCCAAGATACATTGCGGGTAGAAATGACAGGCTTGGTGTCTGACTGGATGTGAAGGGTGAGGGGAGGGAAGGGGCAAGAGCAATGTGCGTGTTTTCTAATCTACAGGTGCTTTCTAATTTATGGGTGGCTGGTGGTGTCTTATGTCAGGATGGGGATTATGGAGATAGTTGAGTAGCAGCTTTAGGGGGTGATGTTTGTGGACAGCTGAGCCTGTGGTATATTTCAATGCAGATGTACAATGGGCAGCTGCATGAACAGGCTGGGAGGGGTTGATGCTGGAGACAGATCTAGCAGTCATTAGCATGCAGCAGTGGTTAAAATCTCCCGGGGGGAGGGTATGTAAGAGGAAAAGGTTATAAAGGATATACCCACAGACCCCCAGGACAGTGATGGCAAACCTTTTAGAACTTTCAGTTATACAAACAGCCCATTTTGGCATGCATCCCATAGGTTTGTCACTACTGGCCTAGGATTTACACTACATTGATACATGGTGGGGGGGGGGCGCTCAGCAGGGTGTCTGGATGGACTGAGCCTGGTCCTTGAAGGGTATGTGACAGTTCCAACAGAGGTGCCCTCACCCTTGTTTTCTATGATTCTAGAAAAACCAAAAAAGACATCCAGATCATAAAGGATGGAAAATGCTGACCCCAAAGGAGTGCCTTGAGCCATAAAGGTTTAAGCTGAAGAACAGTAGTGAGCAGGAAGATATGATGTAAAATAAAAGATCAGCCCAATCGGGGATGTGGACCAGTGTCTTCGGGGAGTTGGGAGGTGGTTGCAGATCTTGCACTGTCTGCCCTGCTCTGAATCTGATGTGCAGCTCGTCCTTCCTTCTGATCCTCCTCAACCCTGTCACATGTCCCCTCAGAGGTCCGTTATCTTCTGCCTATTTGAGAGGTCATCCCCTGACACCAGAACATTTCCCCCAGTGCTCTTGCCCGCCCTGGCCTGCACTATTAGGACAAGAATCTGGATGAGATCAATGTCCTCTGGGTGTATGGTTCAGCCTCACCCATGCCCTTCATGGCTTCCTGCTAGGCTGTCCCAGCACTCGGAGCATTCACACACAGCTAAACACAGCGACTTCACACAGGCCCAGCAGGTATTCAGGCTGTTGTATACAGCACAGTTGAATGGCTTACTGTAATATTGAACTAGGTCTTTAATATTCAAAACCAAAAGCTTCTCAAAGCCCTTTGAGTGCCCTCCTCACCCCTTGGCCACTCAGATTGTCACCTGGAAACCCTGCATCTAGGGTTAACTAACTCCTGGCACAGCAAGACTTCCAGCCCTCCACTGCTTTCTAAGTCAGCATCGACTGGCTGATTGACGTTAGAACAACTCCAGGAACACACGGCACACATGCACTCACACAGTGCCCCATGGGGACCCACAGCATCCAGAAATCCCATGAGACCCACAGTCGTGGTATATGCCAAATATCCTGTCTTTTGGCCAAAGCCTGTAGGAGGAGCCCTAAGTAACAGTGTGTGTGTAGAGGCCTGGCCACGTGGGAGCAGTTTCACACAACTCAGATTTCTGCCCCAGGGAGTAGAACAAGTAGGGAATGATATGGGAAAACATACAACATCAAAGAGGAAAGCAGGCAGGGAAGGAAGGAGCCAACATTCCCGCGACCACTAAAATGAGAACACCAGAAGGAACTGTTGCTGATAGATTCACAAATGACAGGGACTAGATCATCTACAAGCCCATCAGCACTATTGATAAACCTGCTTCCTACCTGCATATGAATGATGTAGGATTAAGTTTGGCTGCTAGAGACATAAAACTAAAACAGTAGTGGCTAAAGCAAATAGAAATTAATTTCTCTAACATGGACCTATGCACCTATATTGTGACTCTGCCATCCTCATAACACCTTCTACCTCGAGGTCTAAAGCAGCTGCTCCAATTCCAGCCGTCACATCTATATTCCAGACCACAGAGAGAAGGAAACAACATACCACCCAGCCTTGAAGACACTTGTAAGATATATATACTCTGTTCAAATCCCATTGGCTAAAATAATTCTTGGTCATGCTGGAGCAAGGAGATTGGGAAATACCATCTTTATCTGTATTAAACTAAAAACTAGTTCACTTACTGGAGAAGAAAACAGATATTGGTGACATGTGAAAGTCTTTACCCAAAGTGGGAAGCCCCTCTTATACCCAAGTGGCATACAGCACCCAAGTATCTCCTTTGTGACCCTTCACTCCCAAGCTTCTACTCATATGCTAAGGAGTCACAAAAATTAAACCTGAACAATGTGCCAGACAGTCCACTGGAAGAAACACTTGACTCCCCACTTATATAGATGTGAACCATTCTAAAACCTCAGCGTGGGCTTCTCAAGGTCATGTCTGGGTATGCAACCATGCTGCCCTGGCCGTTGCTGACCGGCCAGAAGTCTTCCCTGGGCTCCTCAAATTGGAAATAAGGAAGCAGAGGCAGTTCTTCTCTCACATGGAGCTGGAGGGTGCACTACATGAAGACCACAGCAACCATGCTTCCTATTCTGTGGAAGAAGCAGAAACTGACTGGCAAGGACATGTGCAGAGATGAGACAGGGACAGCGACTCTGCAAAACGTTTCAGTTTCTGAAACCCAGCTGTCCCTAAGGTTCCCAAAGTGACATGAGGTAACCGGATATCCTGCCCATAAATTTTCTTTTTTTTTTTTGCATATTAGCGATGGATTTTTATTTGAAAACAACTTAAATTTTTAGACAAATGATTTTAGTATATGTTTTATTTTGTTTTTACATAGAATACAAAGATTTCCCTCATTAATCTTCCATGTGAAGGGTACGATAGGGTGGAAGGAAAATACAGTTTGCACACAAGTGTGTACCTTTTGTGTGCAGCACTGAAAACGAACAGTGTAGTGCTCCTATACATAAATTAGATCACGTGACATTACACATTAAGGGGGGGAGAGATATTCTAGTTAATCAGATCGAAGAAGCAAACATGACACAAAAACTGTGCAAATGAGACCAAGTCAGAAACTTTAGTTAGAACACTGAAGATTATACGGGAAGGTTTGTGAGGGTATAGTGTATACCACATTAAAACAGAAAGGAAGAGGTGTCTACATAGAAAGGCTGGAATGAGAGACTTTCACTAACCCAAATTAACTTGTCAACTGCCAAACAAAACTGAGCACATGAGTGTTACTGTACTGAAGGCATGTTACGCCAGTCTCTGTGCGGCATGCTAAGGGATAGTTAGAATGTCTTCGCTGGTGCATATGAATCATTAATGGTCACGTTTTTGCCTCTTGCCAAATTTCAAGCATGTCTTATTTATTAAATGGAATATAGCTTTTACCTTTTATTTCATAAACATGTGAAGACAACATTCATTCTGTGCCAGAGGATGACCGGCAACCTTGTTTATAAACTGCTCCAGCCCTGCTTCCTCTCCTCAATAAAATTGTCATCAAATATTTCATCATCTCCTCTAAAAGGAAGTTGATGCAAAAATGCTTTCCCAGGGAGCGAGGGAACTACAACCTTGCTCTCTCTTTCTAATTCACTTCGTAGCCGTTCAAAGTCACTGTATCTTCTTCTAACAGTAGATTCCTCTAGCTTGAAAATAGGAAGATTTGTCTTGACCCTGATCTCATAGGTGGTGAAGTGGCCAGGCCAACCCCCACCATCTGTGGGTTGCTCACGACAATTGAAGAAGTTGCTGGGCGGCCCATAGATGTCATTCAGGTTCTGTGGGTTGGTGATCAGCCTTTGGGTGTCTGCCTCAGTCTCTGCCATTTCGCTGTCTATAAATTTTCTATTTCACACAATCTCTTTAAGATTAGGTTTATGGTACTTTCAACTAGAGTCCTGAACACCATATGAAGGGCTTCTCAGAAGTAACCTTGAAGCTGTGCCTTGAACACATGGAAATTACTGATTAAAAAGACAATGGAGAGCCGGATTTAGCTCAGTGATTCCACAGACTGCCTCACAAGCACAAGGACCCAAGTTCAATCCCCCGTACAAAAAAAAAAAAAAGACAATAGAGGAAAATTCTTCCAGCTCTGCAAAATCTGTAGGATCACATGTCCCATTTGTTCTCCCCACAGTAAGACTGATCCGCCCCAGGAAAGTCTGACTGACAGGGGTATTCTCTTCCTGGTCCCAGGCATGTGGATGAGCAGGTCTGTGCACAGGCCCCAGTCACTGCTCCACATACCGCCCAGCAGTGTGTGCTGTGGGGCCTTATATGACACTTGTCAGTGCTGTAAATTCCAGTTCTGATGGAGCTTTTGTCAGTACATCTATGGAAATTTCACTCTTGGTGAATACATTCTATATTCATTCACTCTCCAAATACTTGAGGACCTATTGTATACCAGATAAGATAATTGAAATATTGCTGTTTATGAGATAAAGAAGATCCTTAACCCAAGGACTTTACAGTCTATATGTTAAAGGCAAATTCTGTACTAATCAAATAATTTCACAAGTAAAGTATCACAGGGCCCAGGAATAGCTTTGTGGTAGAGTGCTTGCCTAGCATGCATGAGCCCTGGGTTCAATGCCCAGCAGCACAGGAGAAAAAAGAAAAAAAATCAGACTATGACAAATGTGAGAGAAAAGCTATGGAAAGCTTTAAGAGGATGCCACTGAGGCATCCTCATGTGGTCTCAGACAGTAGGTGGGGGTTTCTCCATGGAGAGACATTTAAGTAATGTTCTGAAGGATGAATAAGCATCATCTAGCAAAGGGGTAGGGGTGAAGGAAGATGGTAAGAGTTGTCCAATCAGAGGTAGTGGCACACACAAACGACCCTAGGGCAGTAGAAAGCACATAGCACCTGAAAACCCGAAAGACTAGTGTGGCTGCAGTGGAGCAAACAGGAGAGGGACTGAGATGAGATAGGAAATGGTAGAGGGCAAGGACTTTGATCTGTATCCTAAGAGACACAGGGCATCACTAGAGGTTTCTAAACGGGATTGACATGATATTCTATGATCACTCTGGCTGCTCTGTGTAGAATAAACTGGGTAAGAGCCAGAGAGGAAACTGGAGAGACCAACATGGAGGATAAAGAGAGAGAAAAAGGGAGAGAAGAAAGATTAAGACTTAAAAAAAAAAAGAAAAAAAGAGTAAGACAAAGCACTTGCAACCCTGTATCAGTTGGGAAGAAGTGTAGAGATTAAAAACCTGAGCTCTGGGGCCTGGGATTTAGCTCACTGGCAAGTGCAAGGTTCTGAGTTTGATCCCTGGTGCTGCCAAAGGAAAAAAAATGAGCTCTAACACTTAACTCCCCAGCTTTGTCACAGCTTTCTCACTTTTTCTCTCATCTTGAGCAAACTATGAAAATTGTTTCCTACACTTCTTCATTTTTTTTTTTGTGGTACCAGGATTGAACTCAGGACCTTGCACTTGCGAGGCAGGCTCAGTGCCACTGAGCTAAATCCCCAGCCCTCTTTATGATTTTTTTAAATGCAAACATTTTTTGTTGTTGTTGTTGGTTTGTTTTGGTACCCAGGATCAAACTCTGGACCTTGCCCTTGCAAGGCAGGCTGCGGAACCACTGAGCTAAATCCCCGGGCCCCTGCAAACATTTTTATTGACAGTTTAGAGCTCAAACAATTCCACAGAACAGAATAAAAAAATGTGTAAGACACTGGAGTGTAAACTTGCACCAGACAGATTAATACTCTTCACTCTCTTCCTCTCCATTAGTACTATCTGCTCCAATCTCTTCATAATCCTTCTCTAGGGCAGCCATGTCCTCCCGGGCCTCAGAAAACTCCCCTTCCTCAATCCCCTCACCCACATACCAGTGAACAAAGGCACACTTGGCATACATCAGATCAAACTTGTGGTTCAGGTGGACCCAAGCCTCGGCAATGGCTGTAGTGTTGCTCAGCAAGCATACAGCCCGCTGTACCTTGACCAGGTCTCCACCTAGCACCACGGTGAGAGGCTGGTAGTTATCCAACCTTGAAGCCAGTGGGACACCAGTCCACAAAGTGGATGCTGCGCTTAGACTTGATGGTGGCAATGGCAGCACTGACATCTTTGGGGAGCATGTCACCACAGTACAGCAGGTAGCAAGCCAGGTATTTACCATGGCAAGGGTCACATTTCACCATCTGGTGGATTGACTCAAAGCAAGCATTGGTGAGCTCTGCTACAGAAATCTGCTCATAGCAAGCTTTCTCAGCAGGGGCATATGTGATCAGAGGGAAGCGGGTTCAGGGATCAGGCACCAGGTTGGTCTAGAATTCTGTCAGATCAACATTCAGAGCTACATCATATCTGAGGAAAGTGGTGATGGAAGACACAATCTAGCTCATAAGGTGGTTCAGGTTGGGCACCCAACCTGAAACCATCGAGGTTTCTACGGCAGATGTCATAGATGGCCTCCTTGTCTACCGTGAAGACACAATCAAGAGTGCTACGGGATCTCATGGGTGGTGAGGATGGAGTTGTAGGGCTCAACTACAGCTGTGGAAATCTGGGGGGTGGGTAAATGGAGAACTCCAGCTTGGCCTTCTTGCCATAGTCAATGGAGAGATGTTCCATCATCAGGGAGGTGAACCTAGGGCCAGCTTCCCTGCCAAAGCTATGGAAAACCAAGAAGCCCGTAGACCTGTGCACTGGTCAGCCAGTGCAAGCCAGTCCAAATTCAGTCCAAGACGAGGTCAATGATCTGCTTGCCAACAGTGTAGTGCCCAAGGCATAGTTACTGGCAGCATCTTCCTTGCCTGTGATGAGCTGCTTAAGGGGGAAGAGCTGGTGGTAGGTACCACTGTGCACTTCATCGATGACTGTGGGTACCAGGTCTACAAACACTGCCATGGGCATGTTTGCCAGCACCAGTCTTACTGAAGGTTTAGTTAAAGGAGTCAACTCCTCCCTCAATGGTCTTGTCACTTGGCCATCAGGCTGGATGTCATGTTTTACACAATACAGCCCCCAGCAGGTGTTGCCAATCTGGGCACCAGCCTAGCCAACAAGGATGGAGATGCACTCATGCATTATGGGGACATGTAGGGGTCAGTGGCACTGGAGAAGGCAAGAGGATGACAATGAGGATCTCCCAATGACAGATTGTCAAGAGTCCAGAGGGAGCAGTGCCACTTCTTCCTTTATATGAGGATTAAATGACTAGTATAGTCACTGGAGATTATATATTAGTCATATATATATTTCACTGAACACTCCGAACAGTGTCTGGCCCAAAATACCTTCTGATAAAATGTGGCCAAGCCAGGCACGGGGCACATGCCTGTAATCCCAGCTACTTGGGCAGCTGAGGTAGGATTACAAATTTGAGGCCAGCCTGGAAACTTAGAAAGACTCTGTCTCAAAACAAAAAATAAAAGGGTTTAGGATGTAGTTCAGTGGCAGACCCTCCCTTAAACTGTTGTAGCCCAAGCCCACACAGATATTATATACCAAACAGATAAATAGTGAACTACTATTAAAATTAAGGTTGGGTGGGGCCCTAAGCCTCACCCACTTGTCTCTCTACCATCTGCTGATCTGAGGTCTAATCCAACCAGTCCTAAATTCCTGGGACTTCAGGGAATTCCTTTCTGCCAGATGACATGGTCCTCAAGTGGCTGGCTGGTAAAGGTCCAATTTCCTGGGCACTGTACTAAAGAATGGGGAAACAGCAGTTGACCAGTTTAAGAGGGGTTCCACCACACACAATCTCTCAACTTTATTTAACATAAACTGACTAGAGGCACAAAAAGCTTTTCTTTCTCATACCTCACCAATCAAAACCAAAATACTTTTCTGCTTGATGACAAGCACACAAACTGGTTTTTAATAGCAATGGTAGTGGGTAGAAATCCACAGAACAGAAAGAATTAGGTCAAGAGAGACACTGTGAATTACCTGTGTGCGAAACACCCGACTAGATGCAACTTCCTGATGACTCTGGTTTTATAACTATGAGGACTCTGAGATTGCAAGGTTAGTCTTTATGGGGGTCAGAGATTTAGCTCGGTGACACTGCACCTGCTGTGCAAGTGCAAGGTCCTGAGTTCAATCCCTGGTACCAGGAAGAAAAAAAAAAAAAGAAAGCTTTTATGCATCTAAAGACCAGGATCCCCTATAAACTGAACACTAGTGCTAACCAGCCCACAGAAAGCACCTGAAGGTCAAAAGAGCTGGTAAAACATGCGCAGGGAGGCCCTGTCCAGAAAAAAATGGTGCTGGATAGCACAGCTACACAAAGGCAGAACAAGAAATCAGAGAGCAGTTCTACTTAAGGTTGCAGAGACAGTACTTTTTCATTGAGAACCAGTATAGGAATAGGAAAATTGACATTTGGCTGGTTGCCTCTGGCAGCTCTGGAGTCACAGAGAGCTTCTATTCCAGAGAAGGGAGAGAGGTGGTGCTGCTCTTCAGGGCAGCAGAGCCTCTCTCCTCTGCACCTCACTCAGCAAGGGCCAAGTTTGTAGACTGCAGCCGCTCGGTCTCTTGGCAGATGTTCTCCTCCACTGTATCACACTCAGCTAAGAATGCCTAAAAGACAGACACAGGGTAGTGAGGGCCTTGCCAGAGCCAGCCAACCACTGCCCATCCTACACTTGGCCATTCTGGAACCAGTGGGTGAGACTCTAAACAGGCTGTGCATGGGTGGGGATGGTACCCAGTATGGGTTCCAGGTAAGGAAAGTGAGGGAGAGGAAGTATAGAGCTAGGGATTCTGATTCCATTCTAAGCCAATAACGCCCAAAAGGGTCACACACAAGGGAGCCTTCCCCCAGGAACAGTGTACCACAACAACACAACTAAAGGGGGTACTGCAAACATGAACAATGTCAGCACTCTCTGCTTGCCAGTGAACTTCCTTCTTAAATAGCTTAAATTTAAATGTAACTATAGGCACACGAAATCAACTTTTCTCTGTGCTCTGGGTTCATGTCGATAAATAAATAATAACCAAAAAAAGTTCCATGCCATACACCACATTTCTACACTATCCTACTTTGAACAGATAAACTCATACACCAATAAATTAATGCATTACAGTTTATCATGTACTATCACACAACTCACCTGAACTTTTTTCACCAAGCCCTTCCTTTTTAGCCTACTGTCTTTGAAATTTTCTGGTAGGATCTATGGAAGAAAAAGTTGGCATATAAACAATCTTCAGTGACAATGACATAAGACATATCAGAAACACATACAATATACCAAATAGGTTGCTGATGTGAATGAATTTTTAGGAATCACTTCTCTAGGTCTGTAACTTACACGACCCTTTCCATAGCTCTCACCCCATAAAAGGAACTTTGTTCTCAATGTCTGGCCATTAAAATCTGATCTGGCCAGGCGTGGTAGTACATACCTGTAATCCCAGCACTCGGGAGGCTAAGGCAGGAGATCGCTGCTGAGTTTGAGGCCAGCCTGGGCTACATAGTAAGACCTTGTCTCAAAAAACAAAAAAGAAAAAACCTGATCTGCAACACATTTTGTTCTTTAACTGTTTCTTATGTATGGATGCTATGCCCTGGCCAGACCATGTGCCCAGGAAAATACTTGTTTCTTTTTTATAACACACCCCTACCACTGCCCAGAGGATCCCAAGTCCAGAGTAGTTCACCCTTAAGAATAAAGAATAGGGGGCCGGGGATTTAGCTCAGTGGTTCTGCCGCCTGCCTTGCAAGCAGAGTTCGATCCCCGGTATAAAAAGAATAAAGAATAGGGCTAAAGATATCAATACTGTCATCTGTAAAAGAGAACCTGGGGAGGGGCTGGAGATTTAGCTCAGTGGTGCTGCCACCTGCCTCGCAAACTCAAGGTCCCAAGTTTGATCCCCGGTACCAAAATAAATAAATAAATAAATAAATAAATAAATAAATAAATAAGAGAGAACCTGGGGTCAATGATTCAACAGCCTCACAAGATCTGGGTCTGATAGAATTCTGTATAGGAAATGAGCTCAGTGGACTCATTAGGCACCTGAGTGCCAGGAAAAATGAAGCCCTGTGTTTCTTTGACCATGAGATCATGGAACACTTGAGTCACAACTTCATAACTACAGATTTCAGTTATATACATACATACATTCTTACATATGTATATACATACACAAAATCAAACATTTATATTTTATATATTTTATATTTCATTTACATTATTTACTTAATTTAAATATGACAAAAGCCCATGTCAGTGGCTTATAAGCTCCTAAAGATCAGGAACTGGCCTACTATTCTGTGTATTCATCCAGGACCAACCATGGTGTTTGGCACACAGTGGTAGATGTTCAATATCCTCAAGTGATGGGCTTGCTCAGGCAACAGGAGTGTGTTACTGAAAGAGTGAAACTGACTGAACTATTGCCATGGAAAACTAGTTCTTCTGAGCTACATATTTTATTTACCATGGTGTCAATCTCCTCTAAGATCTTCATAAACTGCTCAATCATGGCTTTTACTCTCCTATCAAGTTTGCAGAGAGCTTCAGCTTGCAAATCCTTGGCCAGAAAACCCTGTGGAGGAATAATGTGTTACTGGAAGGGTGCCTTAAGTCTGACAGAAAACTCCATGCCACAGTACTGATGAAGTAATCACACCCTGAGTCCACCACTGCCCTAGCAGGCCAGGGCACAAATCAGACCCACAACTTCATCTCTTGGGAAAAACAGAAAGGCTGGTCTTGGGCCAGTCCAATAACACTATGAGGCTAGAGGTGTATATCTTACTTCAAATGCTTCCTGAGGCCTGGTTCTGATGATGCCCCCAGTCCCAAGCATGCACCTGCACACAAGAGGCAGGTAAAAGCACAGGTTTTAAGGTCTGACAGGCTTGCACTTGAATCCTGACTGCGGTTTACTGGCTTGTGCCTTATAAGTAATTTTTATTTTCTGTATTAGTACCAATATATTTATTTAAAACTTCCATATAATCATCATCATAATGGAAACACAGAACACACTCATAATGTTATAAAATGAAGGAGGAAAAGATGGTCTTGAGCTATTCCTAATCTTTACTGGGTTTTAGTAACTCGTCTCTAATATGAGAAATCAAGTAGGATGACTTCCACCCCTACAACACCCCACTAAAATCAAGTTCAATTTAGATCTTTTATGAATCAACAAATGTTCTTTGCTTTCCTAAACACAATACACTAGCCTAGACTGCAAGAAGCCACCTGTTCTATTTCAGACACTACATGATTCTAACATGGCAGATGCTCTCCTACGAACACAAATGGAAGCTGGCTGGGGTCTGACATAACAGTGACAACACTTTAAAAGTACCTTTTTTTTTTTCCAGCGCTGAGATTGAAACCAGGGCCTTGAGTGTGGTGGGCAAGCACTGTATCATTGAGCTACTCCCCCAGCCCTAATAAACAATCTTGAGAGGGAAATAACATTAACAGATTCACTACAGGGCCTTAATTTGTATGTTTGGCTGCGGCTCTAAACTACTGGTAATACATATATGACTGTCCATTGGGTGGCACTGGACAGTTCCATCAGGTGGCACAAGCTGCCCGATGGGACAGTCATGCATATACCACTGGTGGTTCAAGCCAGCAGGAACGTGTTAAATATTCCTTTTTACTGGTGAAGAACTTGAAATAAAGACAAACTTGTCAATAGTAAGAGAAAGACCATGAGTTGGGGATGTAGTCAGTGGCAGAGAACTTCCCCAGTATGAGCAAGGCCCTGGATTTGATCCTCAGCACTGAGACGAAAACAGAAAGAGACAAAGACAGACACCAGGAGCTGAACCTAGGGAGTCTGACTGTAGAGTCTATCCTCATAACTATACATTATATCCACAAATTACAGAAGGTAGAAAGTCAAAGTTCATGAAGCACATTACTTGCTGGATTCCAGTAAGCTCTTTATTCAACTCTTCCAAGTGGTCAGCTATCTTCTCCACAGACTTCTCCAAATTTTTCAACTTCTTTAATTCAACCTCTTCCTCTGGATTGCTCTAAAATGATGAATAAAATGAACTTGATAATCACCAAGACCAGAAGCCTCTGATGGGAAAAAAAATCTGACTACAATTAGGCTAAACCATTCACCTAGAAGTATTCTGTGCTTGGAAAACAAATCATAGGGTTATACATTAATGTTTTCTACCTACAAAGACCCTAGTCTGCACAGAAGGAAGGTGTTAGATAAACATTCTTTTTTTTTGGTACTGGGGATCCAACTCAGGTCCTTGCGCTTATGCAGCAGGCAGGCAAAGCCAATAAGCTAAATCCCTGGCCCTAGATAAACATTCTTATGATGACAGCTTAGGTTCAGAGACTGGAGCCAATCTAAGTGCCAGATTCAGCCTCAGCTCCAGGCTCATCAACAGCCTGTCTAGGGACTGGAGAGCAAACAGATTACACTGAACACCTCTGAGGAGTCCAGAATGCCAAGACAGGCAGAATTCAACTATTCTTTTAAATGGAATTTCTAAATGCTACACTTCAATTGAATGCTCTTATTTAATATAATAACAATGAAGAATATTTTTTTTTTGGTGGTGGTGGTGGTACTGGGGATTGAACCCATGGCCTTCGCACTGAGCTATATCACCAGCACAACCCCCCCCCCCTTTTTAATTTTAAGACAGAGTCTTGCTAAGTTGCCCAGGCTGGTCTTGAACTTTCGATCCTCCTGCCTTGGCCTCCCAGAGTCCTGGTATTTAATGAATACATACTTCCACTGAACACCCACTACATACTACATGCCAGGGACTATCCTAAGTATATTTCCTGTATCTTTTTTTTTCCCCCCCTGTATTAAAAAAAAAAAAAACAGGAAAGAGATGCTGTTTTACAGACGATCAAACCGAGGCTTACTGAGGCTTTTGCAGATGTTCAAACCCAAACAATATAGAGCAGACTGGAATTCAGACCAGTGTCTATATTTTCTGGGACAACTGCAACTGGAGGTCTTATAGCTTCTCCAAACCCAATCCATGGTCTCTGCTGCTCTGCTGTTCATCTCTATTCTCCCTACAGCAAGAAATTTACAATATGTGGCCTTCTTTCACCTAAACAACTGGTAACCAGGGCCAGAAACTTTCTGCTTTGTTACACTAGCCTCAGTTGTTTATTCTTCTTCGTGGCCAAATCCTGAGTCACAGTCTCCTGGCAAATTCAGGTCTGGATTAGATTTTCTTCTATTTTGCTAATCTCTGCCCCCTCTCCACTCAGCCACCTGGACTGAAATAAGGAAACTTCATATGCTCCAAACTCTGCTGTGCTACTGTGTCACAATGCTTTCTGGTCACCTTAGGGGCCACTGCCCTCACCTGTCACCAAATGAATCGTCTTCCCTCTCAGTTCTTTAGTCTGAATCTTTCCTATCAGCGAGGGTTTCCCCCGGGGGAGATTTTAATAAAAATAGTGGTTAAAAGGAGACAGGCTCTCCAATCCTTTTCCATTTTTTGTTTTCAGATAAGGTCCTACTAAATTGCTAAAATGTCCCAGGCTAGACTCAAACTTGCAATCTTCCTACCTCAGCCACCCAGAGTGCTGGGATTACAGGCATGTACCACCACACCTGGCTCACAGTATCTGTTACTGAGGCAGCACAATGTCTCCTAATTCTTAGGCAAAAATCCAAATCAACAGGAGTAGGAAAGTATAAACAACAGAACAACAAAATTGGTAATTCCATCAAACAGAAACTATTTGTTTTTGGTTTTTTTGGTACCGGGGATCAAACTCGGGACTTTGCGCTTTCGAGGCAGGCAGCGGAACCACTGAGCTAAATTCCTGGCCCCAGAAACTATTTGTTTAAAGAAGTGTTTGCCAATGCAGAATCTGGGCCCCCAATTTGGCCTTCTAAATAGAAACATGTATAAAAGAGTCATTTGATTCTGAGGAATTCAGGTGGAAAAAGTAATTTACCTTTTCCCCAATTAACATGACTCGGCAACCATTTTGTATTCCAAGTGCTGACAATGGCATCTCCATTTCCTTCAGAGATTTTCCTGAAAAGTATGTCAAACTATAACAACTGTACAGCACAGAAAATAGATTTTAGCAAAGATACAGGAGACAGACAAATGTGTTTATTAAAGAGAAGAGGATGAATTGGTAAAACCTTTTTTAGAAAGTGTCTTGACACAATTTCACTTGAGATATTTATCCTAAACAAATAACTGAACATGTTCCTACACAGGAACTATTACACAGCACAATCTTTTTTTCTCTTTTTGCAGTACTAAGGATGGACCACAGAGCTTTATACTAAGCTACATCCCAGCCCTTTTAAAAAAAATTCTTTTTTTTTGATAGGCTCTCACTAGATGGCTAAATTGTCCATACTGGGCTCCAACCTTCAATCCTCCCTGCCTCAGCCTCCCAGAGTGCTGAGATTACAGGTGTGCTCCACCATGCCTGGCTTAGTACAATCTTATAATGATGAACTATAAAGAGCCAAATATTCAGAAATTGGGGGCTGATTAATCATACATTTGTAAAACAGAAGACTTTGTAGGCATTAAAGTTTATTTTTTCAGGACATTTCAATCATACAATGAGTGCTGATGATCCAATGTCATAAGAAAAAAAAATGTTATAAAATGTAGGGGTTAAGGGATTTAGTTCCTGGCAGAGCACTTGTCTAGTATCCATAAGGCTCTGGGTTCAAACCTTAGCAAAGCCAAAACAAAAGTTATAAGGGGCTTTATCCAGAGGAACATTTTCTTCTTTGTATTTTCTTCTATTTTGGAATATGAATTTCTATTGCCTTTATAATTCAGAAAATGTTTTTGGAGACAAGGGCTCACTATGTATTCTAGATTGGCCTTGAACTTATTATGTAACCCAGGCTGCCCTCTAACTTGCAGTGATCCTCCTGTCTCAGCCTCCTGAATGTTGCCCCAGCCAGAAAATGGTTTTTAAAAGAAAAAAAAGGTAAGAAAAAATATGAGAAAAGGAAAAAAATGGAAACAAAATCTTTGCAAATAGGGAAGGGTGGAGGGGGTGAAGGGAGGGCAGGGGAAGGGGAAAAAAAATAAGAACCAAGATACTCATGTAATGGTACAAGATCCCAATGATGTATGTAAATGTATTTTATACTTAAAATGTACCAATAAACTTAATGGGGGGAAAAATAAATAAATAAAAAGAAATAAAAGGAGACGCACTATGAAATATAAATAAAATACTCCCTATTATTAAATTCTTTATAAAGACTAGTATCCAGTACAATAAATCTGCCCCTATCAGATTATCAGAATAATGGATTCCTATGGGAACAGGAAGGCAGCCGGGGTGAGGAGGGGGTGGGTCCTAGTGGAAACCAACATCATCCAATGGACCTGCCACATTCTGATAAGTTTGTTCAAAATTTTCCAAGTCTGCACAACACCAAGCACTGGAAACATAGCATTATTCTGCCCTTGTGGAATTTGTTATCCTAACAGAGAAACAGATGTTTACCAACTAAGAAAATTTCAGTACAAATTATGCAGAAGTGGTAGTGCATAGCATGTGAGCAAAGAGGATCTAACCTAGCCAGGGAAGACATCAAAAATGATGAGAATTCTACCATCATGCTAGTTTAAATCTGATACCTGTCCAGGTGCTTGAAAAATCTAGTACAAAGGAGGTCCTCAGTAAGTATTTGTTGAATGAATGAATGAATAAACAATCAAACACAGTCCCAGTTTGAAAACTGAGTTACCGTTATATAGGGTTAGGTAGTTTTAAATCTCCTTTAGCCATATGAGATCAAAGCTAGAAGAGAAATACCTACCCTTAAATATGAGCTTTTGAAAAGGCAATGGAACCCCTGTGGCCTCTTCAACAGCCTGGGCCAGGTCTTGGACAATTGGTTCAGTTCTGCCCTGCTGAGCGGTAACATGAAGGTCGTGCTTTTCATTGCCTGGGCACAAAGAAAAGCACTTGATCTCTTTCAAATAAAACAATAGAGGCCGGCACTTTATCACATTTATTTTACCCACCTTTGAAGGACCAGTTCATATGCCACTCCAAAGTGCCTTCTGCCATCTGCTTTCTTTCTTTCCATGATCTGCTTCCAGGATTTCTTTCCCCTCTATTTTAAGAACTGACAACTTCAACAATAGCTAATATTGTAAACACTTATGGATAAGGGGCTGTACTAGACTCATTTCATCCATTATCTTATTAAATCCTCAGAGAAATCCTATGAAGTAGATACTACATATTATTCTTCATTTCATAGACAAGCAAACTATAAGTGCCAATTCAATTAACACTTGCCTATGGCAACTTAACTAGCGGAAGAAGATTATGACCTTAAATCCAGCTGATTCCAAAGCCCACATTTTTCCTCACAAGCTATCTGCTTGTGGCCTAGCTGCCCTATACTATGGATTGTACTTGTTTTGTCTCCCTTGCTGCAATGTGTAAGAAACTGTTTCTTCCAAGACTTCCACCAGACAAACCTAGGTACACCACAAGTGGTAATCCGTAAAGACAAATGAATACAGTCAAGCAGCAGTGAAATTTTTTTTTTTTTGAAGCACAAGTACTGTTTTCCAAGTAGGTGGATACTCAATAGGTGGCCTGTGTCCAGTGCATTACACCAAGTCTTGAGTTCTCCCAACAATTCCATGAGGTTGGTGGGGGCAGGGGTTACCAAATCTACTTTATAGAGAAGAAACCACAGGCCTAGAAAGGAGATATCCACAAGGTCACTCAAAACTGGAGGATCTAGAATCCTGGTTTCCAGATTCCAAGACATTTCTTCCTCCCCTAGGTGGTTAGGAGGAAACCTCACGGACTCACTGGAGAGTGTAATGACTGGATTCATGGTCTACTCAAACAGTGGATGTGTGGCACCTAGGGCACTCAATAAACAATGAACAGCCCGGCAAGCACGAAGTTTAGACTCATCACAAACACAGGTGCCCAGGCACACTGCACAACGTGACCAAATACAAGCCTGACACAAAGACATACAATAACTGCAAGCACACACACACACACACACACACACACACACACACACACAAACTAGGTCCACAATGTTCGAATATGCTCCAACATCGAGGATCCAACAAATGTCAGAGACAAAATACACCGGCCAAATGGAAAGGAGTGCTGACACAAGCCCTAGACTAAAGCCAGCCTCAGGAACGCAGCCAGGAATCTGCTTTGGGACGCCAGGACAAATACAAGGAGCTACGCTTCCGAGAACTGGTGGCCAAACCCACACAGACCCCGCCGGACCATCAAAGCCCGGCACAAGCCCACCCGTCCTCCCCGCACTCACCATGGGTGACGGTCACGCTAAGACCGGCGGCCGCCATTTCCTGGGTCGGGGCCACCTCCTCCGCCCGACTCACTTCCTCGCCTCTGGTCACCTCCTCGGCCTGGGTCACCCTCTCGCTCCAGGTCGAGTGGGGACGTGCTTTCTTCTTCACCCGCGGCCTGCGAGCGCCGGCGGCGGCGCTCCTGGTGGATCGGTCATGTCCACCGGCTGCCCTCCGGACAGATGGACGCTGAGAGGGAGGAGGGCCGCGGGTGACCGAGGACTCCGACCGGCGCGGCTCCCGGGAGGCCGGAGGAGCGCGCCGCCGGCGGCCCTGCCGCTCCTGGTTGCCTCGTGGTCTCGGCGCGCCGCTGTGTTCAGCCAGGCCCGCGCTAGCAGCCCGCCCTGCGAAGGAGCTGAGCTTCGAGTCAGACCACCCCCGAGTTAATTCCCGGCCCTGCCCGGGTCTGTCCGCCACGCCCTCCCCGCTGCTGCCCCGGCCTATCCGCTACGGCCTCCTCCAAGCCCCACCCCGTCAGCCAGGGTCCCGCCTCGCTCACCGAATCCCCGCCCACCACGCACCGAGGCCCCGCCTACTGGAGTCTCCCTCCCCGCCCTTCCAAAACTCTGCGTTCCTTCCCCGAAGGCCGAACTGAAAACCCGGAAAAGGATCAAGAAATTCCAGCGAGCGCACTGCGATTGCGCCTGGGTGGGCCGGAAATTGAAGTGGGAGTAATTCCGCTTCCGTTTTAGTTCCCCCCCGCTCAGTGTTTTGGGTTTCTTCGCGGCCGCTCAAGATGAACCGATTCTTCGGGAAAGCGAAACCCAAGGCTCCGCCGCCCAGCCTGACTGACTGCATTGGCACGGTGGGGATTTGACCATGGATAACCAGGCCCAGGGCCTCCGACTCTCCCAACCCCGCCCATCCGCGTCCCTAGGCTCCTACTCTATCCTATTCCCTGTACCGGGGCCCATTACACGTCCGCCTTCTCCATCCGCCCCCTTCATCCCATCTTCCCTATTAATTCCTGACACCACAAACCAGGGACCCTTCACCTCATCAATAACCCGTCCTACTTGCACTCATCCCGTTCTGATGCCCATTGACCTGTCAGCTCTCTTTTACCTTGGTCTCGTCACCCCAAACTGCCCGAGGCCCGTGTTCCCTTCCCACTTCGTCCAGCCGAATCTCTTACCCCCTTTCTATACCTCATCCCTCATCCATATCAGAGCCCTCTCTGTGTTATCCTAGGTCACCATATCTGTACCTTAGTCCTGAGTCTCAGTAACAGAAAATTCAAAACCTTGGCCCCTCAGATTAAGCCACCACCCCTACTCTAGGAAATGGTTTTAGTGCTACAGTCTTAGGTGGTATCCCCTGGGCACCTACTTTTTGAGCCCTTAGCCTGACCAGTCTCTGATTGTCAGGATATCTCAACTTAGCCCAGTGATAAATTATTTTTCTACTTCACTCTTGAGGGGTGTCTGGTATATCAGAATCTGAGGGAAAGAGTAGTTTTTTGAAGCCCCCCAGGGAATCACCTTCCCCCTCAAGTGAAGCACGGTTTTACATACTTCACTAAAGACTTTGTTTTGTTTCTCCATATTTTTTCCTCTCCTGCCCCTTCCCATATAAGTATAAAGCAGTAACTACTACAGATTTCTATTTTCCCCCAAGGTGGACAGCAGGGCAGAATCTATTGATAAGAAGATTTCCCGACTGGATGCTGAGCTAGTGAAGTACAAGGATCAAATCAAGAAGATGAGAGAGGGCCCTGCAAAGGTAACGTAGGCAGCAATTGCTGCAGAAGGTACTGTGACAGTCTAAGCACCTATAGAAATAGGGCCTGGTGATAGGGGCTAGTGAACAATACGAAAGAGATACAGTCTGTTAAAGAGAAAATATGCATTAAGATGTATCCAGGCAGGAGAGTTTGCAGCCACATATAAAAGGGAGGTTGGATTTGACTTGGTGAAGAGAAGGTGCTGATCACATGTCCAGAAGCATGTACATGGGAAGCAGCATATTCTACTGAGAAGATTATAATCTGGAGAGAAAGGCTGGGTGGAGCTCAGGATCAGTGAGTTGCCAGGCTGGGCAGGTTAGGTAGATATTGACTGGCTAAGGAGTGGCTCACTGGGAAAAAGTACTGAATTAGGCATGTGGTCCAATGTTCTAATACTATCCTTATGACTACCTACTAGCTGTGACCTTGATAAAGCCACTTATTTTCTGCTTCTGTTAAGTAGGAACTTAGTGTATTTAAGCACAAAGACTAGTAGAACTATCTTTATTTCTTCCAGTTCCATAACTTATTAACCATGTGAGATAGGGCATTACTGAACATCAATTTTCCCATCTGCGAAAGGGGATAAGATGTACTTTATAATGTGAGGATTAAATGCAGTAATTCATGTGACCTGCAGAGCACTACGTCTAGAACATAGTATCATTTGATGAATACTAGGTATTATTTGAAAGATAATGATATCTGATTTTTCTCTCTTAATGGAAGAGACAAAGCAATATATGGAACATTATAGAAAGGGAAGGCACCAGATGTGGTGGCATACATCTGTAATCCTAGCACTCTGGGAGGTTGAGGCAGGAGGTTCACAAGTTTCAGCCCAGCCCGGGCAATTTAGCAAGATCTAGTCTGAAAATAAAAAGTAAAAAAGGGATGGGGATGTAGCTTAGTGTGAAGGCCCTAAGTTCAATCCCCAGTACAGTAAATTAAAAGGAAAAGAAAGAAAAGGCTTTTCTCAGCAATCTTCACTGATGGTATGGTACAAGAACAGAGGCAGGAAAGCCTATCTAGACTTGAGATAAAAGCCCAAACCATGGTTGGTAGTCATGAGACTGTCATAAAAATAAAGAATCAGTGAGCTGGGGATTTAGCTCAGTGGTTTCTCTGCCTCCTGCTCAAGCTCAAGGACCCAAGTTCGATCCCCAGTACCCCCCCAAAAAAGAATCAATTTAAAAGACAACAGAGTTGTTTAAAACTCAGTAAAAGACAACAGAGAGGAAAGATAAGTTTGATGTAAAGGCTCTTAACCAGAAGAAGTGAGAGGTTGCTGGGGCCATATTTAGACATTTCCAAGGTGAGATAAGATTGAAGAGTCAAGGCCGGGGATTTAGCTCAGTGGTTCTGGCACCTGCCTTGCAAGCGCAAGGTCCCAAGTTCGATCCCCGGTACCAAAAAAAAAAAAAAGATTGAAGAGTCAGCCTGGTACAGTAGTGCACACCTGAAATCCCAGCACTTGGGAGGCTGAAGCAGGAGGATCACTATGAGATCAAAGCCAGCCTGAACTGCATAGCAAGACCCTGTCAAAAAAAAAAAAAAGATAGAAGAGTCTGGGCATGTTGAAGTTGGACTCTGTTGGGCCTAGAAGTGAACATATTATGTATTATGAAAAGAGAAACTAGGTCAGGATACTGAAATGTGGGATGCAAGGACAGACAGGAACTAAGGCTTAAAGATTGGACATCAGAGATATCTGTGCTTGGGAGGGGAAGATCAGAATCCAGAAGCTACTATGTCTGCTTCTTTGAAGAAGAAAGTAAGGGGCCATGTAAGTTTGAGGATAGGGGAGATTTCTTTTACTGTATGTATGTTTTCTACTTTTTAAAAAATTAAATCTGTTTTTCTCCTCAGAATATGGTCAAGCAGAAAGCCTTGCGAGTTTTAAAGCAAAAGCGGATGTAAGTTATGTGAATGATCTCTTTCCCTCTACCAGCTTTAAGTAAAGGGAAAACCATCAGTTTTTCATAGTATTTTCTAAGTATTCTTTTTTTTTTTGTACCGGGGATCAAACTTGGGTCCTTGTGCTTGCGCAGCAGGCGGCGGAACCACTGAGCTAAATCTCCGGCTTTTCTAAGTATTCTTGATATAATTCAAATTTTTCATTAACATCTAATTACATACAATTAGTGGGGCTTTCCTTCACCCTCCACATATACAGCAACATCTGTGATAGCGTTGTCGTCTAATTAGAACTTTTTGCTATGATGGAGATACTCTATGTCTGTATATCCAGTTCAGTAGCTATTAGCTACTTGTGACTATTTGGCACTTGAAGTGTGGTTAGTGTGACTAAGGAACTGAAATTTTAATTTTATTTCTTTAATTTTAATTTAAGTATCTGTATATGACTAGTGATTGTTTTGGACTGGCTAGATCTATAGCATTTGGTTCTTTCATTTAGTTAGCATACGCTTTTTGATTTTGTTTATAAAAGGAATGCTGAATATTTCTTCTCATATGGATGGATTTTTTTTTTTTATTATTACATTGCTGAGGATTGAACACAAGGCCTCTTGTGTGCTAAGCAAATGTTGTACCACTGAGCTACACCTCCCCCACCTTTTTGTTGAAATAAGGTTTCCCTGTGTAGTCCAGGATTAGCCTTAAACATGAAGTCCTCCTGCTTCAGCCTTCTGGATGATAGCATTGTAGGTGTGTGTCACCATACTCCGCTCACTTTAGCCCTTTCATTTTGAGATAGGGTCCTGTCAAGTTGCCCACACTGGTCTTGAACTTGTGACTCTCCTGCCTCAGCTTCCCATGTAGATGGAAGTACAGGTGTGTGCTGCCATTCCTGGCTTCACCAAAATAGATTTAAAGGTCCTTAATTAGTTTTAGATGATTATGTCCCAGTGCTTGAGAGAACCCAAATAATTTTTTGACACCCTTGAGAACTGCTAAGCTGATGAGATCATCTGCAAGGTTGTGGAGGTCAGGTGTAATCAGCTGATATGGGGTTTTTTTGTTTTGGGGTATTTTGGGGGCAGTACTGGGGATCGAACTCAGGACCTTGCACTTGTGAGGCAGGCGCAGTGTCACTGAGCTAAATCCCCAGCCCTGTAATCAGCTAATATGGAACCTGAAAACTTGTTGCTCTCTCTATTCCAATTTTTAAGGAACTTTTTATAATACATCAGTTGTCATCTTCCTTATTTTAGATTATATCACATTGCAAAAAGAAATCAGGCCTAGGGCCAGGGATTTAGCCCAGTGGTTCCATCGCCTGCCTCACAAGCGCAAGGACCCAAGTTCGGTCCCCGGTACCAAAAAAAAAGAAATCAGGCCTATTGTGAGAGCAAAAGCAGTAATCTTGATTGGTATCATGCAATTTTTAAATACTCTTTTTTGTTAGGAAAGGAATACAAAATAAAAAGAGAGGAATACAGGTTCATTGTAGAAATTTGGAAAATATATAAACATAAGCAGAAGAAAAGAAAATTCACCTAGATTCTTGCTTCTAGAAATAACCTTTAAAATGCTTTTTCCAGGGCAGGGGATTTAGTTCAGCGGTTCTGCTGCCTGCCTGGCAAGCCAAGGACCCGAGTTCGATCCCTGGTACAAAAAAAAAAAAAAAAAGAACAGTAAAATACTTTCTCCAGTTTCTTTTCTTTCTTTTTTTTTTGGCGGGGGGGGCGGGGGTCCAGGGATCAAACTCAGGACCTTGCGCTTGTGAGGCAGGCACTGGAACCACTGAGCTAAATCCCCAGTCCTCCAGTTTCTTTTTTATGATTATGTATATGTACATGGCATGTGTACATAAAATTTGTAGAGGAAAACTTAAATTATAGTGTATCTATTACTGTACATGTCATCCTTTCCATTTAATTTTTAATCTTGAGCATTTTCTTGTCCTTTTAACTATTCTATAGAAACTTTACACTTTTTAACAAAATAATCAATCATTTGCCTGCAATATGAATTGACCATTTTCCTTCTGATTGGATAGTGAGATAGTTTCTAAATATTGTATAAAGACAATATTAACTGCAATCATTGAGGTAGTGTATAATTTGATATAAAACTTTGTTTTAAAGAACACGTTTTAAGCACAAGACATTATATACTATCAGCTTAATTATAGGTACAGAGTTAATGTAATCTCAGGGAGCTCAGTCTAGAGAAAAAGGTAGGAGGACTGTTGAGTTCAAGGCCATCTAGGACTACCTAGGGATTTCAAGGCTAGTCTGGACTAGGTAGGGAGACCCTATCTCAAAAAACAAAATAAGAAAAGGAGTTCAGTCTACTGCAAAAACATTTATGTGAAGAAGTTTAAAAATGGTCTTACCCTATGCTCCAAGTGTTCATATTTCTGAGAATTACCATAGGATATAATTGTAAAAACATAGATAAAGGTGTGGGCTGGGCATGGTAGCTCACACCTGTAATCCCAGCACTCAAGAAGCTGAGGCAAGAGGATCAAGAGAGGCCAGCATAGGCAGTTTAGCAAGACAAAGAGAGAGAGTTGGCCATGATGCCACATGCCTATAATCCCATACTCTGAGGCTAAGGCAGAAGGGATTACAAATTTCAGGCCAGACTGAGCAATTTATCAATTTAGCAAGACCCTGTCTCTAAATAAAAGAAAGTGCTAGGATATAGCTCACTGTGAAGGTCCTTGGTTCAGTCCCCAGTACTGGGGGGAAAAAAGTTGAGTATGGTGGCACGTACCTATAATACTAATGCTCTGGGAAGCTGTAGCAAGAGGGTCATAAGTTCTAGCCCAGTCTTGGCAACTTAGTGAGACCCTGTCTCAAAATAAAAATTTTAAAAAGGGCTCGGATATAAGCTCAGTGTGGAGGCTCTGGGTTTAGTCTCCAGTACCACACACATAAAAGGGACCCGGGGGTTAAGGTTGTAACTCAGTGGTGGAATACTTACCTGGTGTCCATAAGGCCCTGGGTTCAATTCCTAGTCACACACACACACAAATAGCAACATAGGAAAAAGTGAATAGTATAATACAAAGTAGAAAACAATAGTGTTATAACTAAAATAAATGTATAGGAAAAAGACTGGAGAGACTGAGTTAGAGGAATTAATTTTTAAGGATTTTGGTCCTTTATTTTATGAAAATTCTATTTAGTGTTAAGGGTGCTTTCTTCCTGAAGATTTCTATCTGGTTCACATTTGTCATTCTCAATTGACTCTAAAAAGGTATGAGCAGCAGCGGGACAACCTTGCCCAACAGTCCTTTAACATGGAACAAGCCAATTACACCATCCAGTCATTGAAGGACACCAAGACTACGGTATCCCAAAGCATTTTTTTTCACTTTTGTGTTTTTTTCTCTTGTTTTTTTAAAAGATAGTTTAACCAACATGACTTCTTAAGACATTGTGTTTTCTTTTTTTTTTAGGTGGATGCTATGAAACAGGGAGTAAAAGAAATGAAGAAGGCATACAAGGAAGTGAAAATTGACCAGATTGAGGTAAAGTGTATGCTAGTTTCTGCAAGAATATGCACCAGTTTCTGAAAGGATCCAAATGAATGTGTATGTGATGGGAAAAGCACATCAGAGGGATTGAATCCTGGGCCACCATTTACTAGTGTAGCTTCAGGAAGGATTACCTAAGGTCTCAGCTTCCTCATTGTTAGTGCAAAGATCTTAAAATCACATACAGTATAGCTATTATGCAGATGAAATAAATGAGCTAGTATACCTACACTATTTTAAATAAAATACAAAATGCAGTGCTTGGCACATAATAAATACTCAGTAGTTACTTCTAACTTAATGAATTTTAGTTTGTTTCCTCAACTGATATTGCTGCCTATCTCCCAGTATTGTCACAAATGTTAAATAAAGATATGTCTGTAAAGTGCTTAATACAATACATTAGTCAGCTTCTTGTAATTGGGATACAGTACTCAACACTCACAACTTAAAGAGAGGCTGAATTTGGCTCACAGTTTCAGGGTATTCAGTCCATGATCAGCTGGCTACAAGGTAGAAACATCATGGTGGAACAAAGCTACTCAACTTCTTGACAGTTGGGAAGCAGAGCAGGGAACACTGCCAGAGAGGAATGCAGGGGACCATATATAGAACCCAATGTCACACTTCCATGGCCCACCCAGACACACCCAGGAACGTGCTTTATTAGTCTGGTTATTGTTTCATAATTCAGTGAAGTTAATATTATCAGGATTAATGCTCACAATTCTGACATTGAGTTGGTGACCTTTTCTAGTAATTCTCTTTATGTTTATATTTCAATAATATAATTCCTTAAAATTAGCATTTCTTTTTGTTTATTTGTTTTTTGGTACTGGGGATCCAACTCAGGTCTTTGCACAGGCGGCGGAACCACTGAGCTAAATCCCTGGCCCTAGCATTTCTTTTTGAGATTAGATTTTGGCAAGGAGATAATCCCTGAGAGCCTGGCGGTTCTCACCTGTCAGGTGAACAGCCAAATGGCAAGCAGAGGGAGTGAGTGGTAACCAGTCAGGAAGGAAGCTTCCTTTGTTCATGTATATTTATTTAGCACCCTTTACCCCTGCTCTCTCTGTCTCTTTCCTTGAGGTCAGAAACTTCATTTTGTTCACTTTTGTATCCCCAATGCCTAGACAATATCTGGCCATGGTTGGTGCCTAGAGTAAGAGACTGTTAAAGAAAATAAAGCAGTTAAGTGTTTGTTGAGTGAGTAGTTAGGATGTCCCAGGTGTTTGACTGTCTCTACAGAGGTATTCTCTGGCAGTGTGAAGGCATTCATTTTTTCCCTGTTATACTTCTTTTCACCAACCCTCTTCACATTGCCCTTTACCATTTCCACTGGTCTACAAGTCTTTTGCTATGGAGTTAAGCTTCATGATATCTTTCAAGAAATTCACTAAGAAAAATGTTCTATATGTGCTTGTCTTATTTGTGTAGTACTTTTTGATAATAAAATACAAAATGCAATTTTGTTTTTTACTTTTAGGGCTCCTTGTGTTTTATTTAAAGCTATTTAATATGAACAAAAGAAAAACTTTGGTCATTTTGGGTTTTTTGTATGTCTCTACCTTTCATCTGTAGTTGTATATCAGTCTCTGTTCCTACCCTTTTCCTGTCCCCTAATAAATTGCCAATATGAGAGGTGGAAAGCCTCTTTAACACTTTTGGTGCATATGTATATGTGTCTTTTGGCCAGGCTACATATTCTGAATTTTTCTGTTGGATTTATTTTCCTAAAATACTTTATTTGTAAAACATTTTCATGGGTTTTTTTGTTTTGTTTTGTTTTTGTTTTTTTGTTTTTTCATTTTCATGGTTTTATAGGTTATTTTTTTCTCTTTATGTGGTGATGGGGATCAAACACAAGGTCTTATGCATGCTAGGCAAATGTTCTACTGTTGAGCTATATCCCCAACCTATATAATTCTAATTTTTTATTTTGCCTTTGTGTGTGTGGCTCTGTTTTCGTCTTTTCTTTTTTTTTTTTAGTTTCTGCACATCAGTCCATCAATGTTCTTTTTGGTTTAGTCCCTGTATTTATGTTGTTCTTGTTTATTATATAATATTGATTTATGTGAATTTGAAGACAGGTTAGCCTGACAATTCTTTGTGAGATAATTTTTTGTTTATGTCTGTCCGAGAGTCTACTACTAGAAATCCTATTCAAAGATGATTTGGGGAGATTTCTCTTAATATGTAATAGTATAATACAAACTTGACTTGATTAGTTTATTCTATGTTATTCTTTTTCCCTTTTAATTAGTGTTTACTGTAGTGCTTCTCTATTTAGCAGACTGTTACATATATACAGGACAATCACTTGGCACTTGGAAAGACAAAAAACTAAGAGTTTTTTAAAAGTTTTTCCTCTTCCATTTTATTTTTTATGCTTTTCACTTTTATATGGAAAACAAACCAAGAGACCAGGAAGGAATTTCAAATGTCTTGCATTGCTATAGAAATTGAAGGGTAAATGGTGCTGATTTGGACCACGATCAACACTAGTCTGTTCTTCTCTATGTGAAATACAGTGTTATTCTGTATATCCCTAAAACAATAGATACAGTATTAGGCGATTATTGTTTCTATAAATTATTTTTTAAATGGGGGAAATGCATATTTACTGCTAGTATAAGTTGATACAATCCTTTATTATTTTATTTTATTTATTTATTTATTTATTTTGGGTACCGGTGATCTAACTCGGGACCTTGCACTTGTGAGGCAGGCGGCGGAACCACTGAGCTAAATGCCTGGCCCTCTGTCTCTCTACTTCTATGATGTATCTTTTATTTTGCTCTTTATTTATACTTTGGCTTTCTCATATATGAGAAACCATGCAATATTTAAGCTTGTGTATCTGATTTATTTCACTTAACATTTTGAGCTCATAAATCCCTACACTAATCCTATAAATGAGGAAATTAACTACTCATTAAATAATGCAAAATTTGAACTTGAGTATTTCTGACTTCTGAGTCATTTTATCCACTGCCCTTCTTATGCTGTGCCACTTCTCAGTTTGGTTTTGCATTGTTTCCTGCCATGTACTACATGTAGATCATTAACAGATGGTTTATTCTCTCAGCCAATTTTTTTTTCACCAGCCTGGTCTCAGGTATTAAGCGTTTCCTGATTCCATCCCTTTTTTTTTTGTACTGGGGATACGCAGGCACGGTGCCACTGAGCTAAATTCCTGGCCCTCCTGATTCCATTTCTTTTTCCCCATTCAAGGTGGCCCATTACAACTTTTTTACCACCCAGTTGATTTCGCTTTTGATTTATGTCTTTGGCTGTCTTGAGTAATTTTACTGGTCTCAGTTACTTCCCTTTCTCCATTTAGTATTGATAGTTAAATGTTTCTTGATTTAATGTTGCGAATAGAACTCTCTAATAGCAGAGAGCTGATGGGCATCCGTTTTCAAAATAGGCCTTTGGATTTTTGTGGGTTTGTTTGTTTTTATTTTGTCTTGTTTTGTTTTTGAGACAAGGCCTTGCTCAGTAGTTCAGGCTGCTCTTGAACTCACTATGCAGCGCAGGCTGGCCTCGAACTCACAGCAGTCCTCCTGCCTCAGTCTACAGAGTGCTGGGATTCCAGACATGTACCACCTTGCCCACCTAGGTCTTTGGATTTGCATGACACTCCTTTAAAATCAAATGCAAGATCACCAATTCTATATTTTATTTTGAAATTCACCTTTTCACCACCAAAATGGAAGAGGGATTATGAGGGTAAATGGCATTCACAGTTATTGTTAGGGGAAATCTTTGGGCTTTTGACTTCTGATTTTTTTTTTTTTCCTTTGCAGTGCTACAAATCAAACTCAAGCCTCATACATGTTAGGCAAGCTGTTCCCTCAGATTTTAAATAATTCTTTAAGCACTCTTTGTAATACTTTTTTGGGTTTTTTGTTTTTTGGGTTTTTTTTGGTACCGGGGATCAAACTCGGGACCTTGCACTTGCACAGCAGATGCCGGAACCACTGAGCTAAATCCCCGGCCCTTCTTTGTAATACTTTTTACTAGGAGGGACATTCCAGAGGCTGGAGAGTAGCTCAGTAGTACAGCATGTGCTTAGGATGCATGAGGCCCAGCACCAAACAAACAACAAAATAAATGAAGGACATTCAGGAGTTATTCAGACCTACTCTTTAGAAAAGTGTCTGTTCAGTTGTTGACTAATAGCAGTTGCTAGGCAAGGATTGGGTTAGTGAAGTAAACTAACATTGTTGAGAATTATTTATGTGCTTGATATTTTATGTACATTTTTTAAAAATTGCTAATTTCTAAGCTTCAAAGGAGAATGAAGGGAATGTGGTAGTTAAAAGACAATAGTGGACCAAGGAATTTAGCTCAGTGGTGCCGCTGCCTGCCTTGCAAGCGCAAGGTCCCGAGTTTGCTCTCCAATACCAAAACAAACAAAAACAATAACAAAAAGACAATGGTAAGGGCTCAAGATTTAGCTCAGCAGCACAGCACCTGCCTGGCAAGCGCGAGGTCCTAAGTTTGATCCCTACTACCCAAAAAAAAAGACGATGGTAAAAAAATGAGTGGAAACCCTATCTCCTATTTCTATAGGATTTACAAGACCAACTAGAGGATATGATGGAAGATGCAAATGAAATTCAAGAAGCACTGAGTCGCAGTTATGGCACTCCAGAATTAGATGAAGATGACTTAGAAGCAGGTAAGTTGTGAGAAAAGCAGTGTAGCTTTACTTTAGAGCTTGAAAGTAACAACTGTCTGAGACCTTTTCCCAAATGCTAGAGAAAATTACTATCCAGGTTCCCTGAGACTTAGCTTTCAGTAGTCTTCAGGCACAGAGCCTTTGAGCTACCTGCATCAGACTTGCAAACTCCATCAGTAACACTAAAGTATGGTCAACATGGCCTTTCCTTGCTGTTTTCCTTTTGATTTTGTTCTCCCTATTTTCTTATTTGGAGTCTTATTCCTAAGAAGAGCAAAACAAATTAAGAAACAGTAGTTGGTGAATACTTAGTGTTCATCTACTATATGCCAGGCTCTGTGCTAGATGCTAGGGATTTAGCATTGAAAAAAATAAATGTAGGCTGAGATTGATGGTGGATGGTTGTAATCCCAGCATTTAGGAGGCTGAGGCAGGAGAATTGCAGTGAGTTCCAGGCCAGCCTGGGCTACATAGTGAGTTCAAAGCCACCTTAAACTACAAAGCAAGACCCTGTCTCAAAAAAAAAAAAAAAAAAATGGGGCTGGGGATTTAGCTCAGTGGTGCCAATGCCTGCCTCACAAGCGCAGGGTCCCAAGTTTGATCCCCAGTACCAAAAAAAAGATTCTTGTGTTCATGTAACTTCTAGCAGTGGGAGGAATATAAACCTACTTGCTTCAAGTAATTATTTAATTACAAGAACACACACTGTTGGGGAAAAATGAGATACCATAGGAACATGGTAATCTAACTTAACAAAGGAATCTTCCCCTAGTGGGAGAATCAAACATAGTTAGTACTGAAGTACAGGCCCAGGACCTGAAAGATGAATAGGAGTTAGCACAAAAAACTGAAAAGGGAAGCTGGGTGCACTGCTATAATCCCAGTATTCTGGTAGGCTGAGGCAGGAGAGTTGCAAGTTCAAACCCAGCCCAGGGAACTTAGTGCCTTACTGAAGCTCTATCTAAAAAGATAAAAATAGAGCTGGGCATGTTGGCACACACCTGTGATCCCAGCACTCAGGAGGCTAAGGCAGGGGGATCGCTGCGCATTCGAGGCCAGCCTGGGCTACATAGTGAGTTTGGGGCCGGGCTGAACTACAAAGGGAGATCCTGCCTCAAAA